ATACTGATGATCTATTGGATAAATTAAGAGGAAAGGTATTCTTCACAAAGTTGGATCTGAAAAATGCATATTTTCATGTCAGAGTAGCAGAGCAATCGTTAAGCTTCGCATTGTCTGGTATATAGGAAATATAAACATGGGTTATTATTTTATATCAGCTTTTAGGTCAGTTTTTATGTCTAATGCGTTTAAAGAGTTTCTTGCCTAAAAAAAAATAGATTTAGTACAAGTTGTAACGGTAACGCCTCAGAAAAATGCCCAAGCAGTAAGAGTTAACCGGTGAATAACTGCAATATTGCCGAAAAAGACCGTGGCATTGAATAAACGGTAACAATTATTGGATGAGGTTGAGTATGTGTTAAATAATGTGCGTCTACAGGTGAGGCCCCGTCTAAATTATTGTTTGGAGTGCATCAAGGTGGTACAATCAAGAATGAGTTAAAAAGATTATTGTTAGAAATGGATGAAGAACGAAATTTGGAGGAAATAAAGAGATGCGCTGCAGAAAATATATTAAAAAATCAACGTGGTGATCGAATTCAATTATACTTTATATCTGACACAACGACACAGTGGTTAGAAAATTGAGTTCTGATTAGATCGGTTTTATGGAAGTATTTAGCGGGTCCTAGTTCAAATCCCATAAAGGTTTAAAACATTTTTTTCCGGATTTCCTTCCGAGATTTCCTATTTGACAATCTCGGGGATTTTCTATCGGGACAATTTTTGGAGCGGGCCTTTTAACATTTGGTCTCTGTGGAAAAGACTTTCTAGGAACTTCGAGGGATCGAACATGTTGTTTTGTAAGGTATAAAAAGTTATTTACCATATTTTAAGAGGGCAAAATAGTAAACTGATTAACCCATGAAGGCATGAAATATTTGTTTATGCCGTGAACTGTGTTATGATATAGAAACAATTTGTGATTATTTTTAAATATTTTTCATATCATCACAACTGTCAAATAATTCATAACATAAACAAATATTTGTTTATTTGGTTTATTTTTTAAATCATCTGGTCAACTTTTAACTTTTGTTTACGTTATATCAGCGCTGGTACAAAAACCAATGCATTTATCGATTCATTTTATAATTACGGAGTAATTAAATAACAAGAACATTTTTTCATTGTATTGCAGAGACGAATTATCACGTTTATAATGTTCTTATAATATACACTTTGGTATTTTCGCAGTTTGTGCATTTTGCACTTACGCACTTTTACCTTTATCGCGTAGTGTTGCTGTATTGCACAATCAATAATGCAATATTGGTTATCGCGGTAATAATCATAAAGCAAGTAACTGTTCGGTATACCTATAAAATATAATATAATACGTCGACCTTATTTGTATACGAACGATCTATGCAATGGAACGTAAATTGAATTTCTAAAGAACGCTCGTGTATTTACCTAAATCATAGGATATTAATTAGTAATTCATTCCTTGCATTACATTGCGCGTGCTTTTATTTAAGTAATTTGTAGTTTCAATATTGTTAATTAAGTTTTTCGTCGAAGTAAAAACGCGTGTCGTAACGACGGATTTTACAGAATCTTATTTTTGTATCGTATCCGCGTGACAGAGACTTTATTTAATTAATGCAATAATAATTAAACGGGCAGAATCTTCTATATAGCATTGGAATAATACCCTAAAAAATATCGGTGCCGTTTGTGCGCGCATATATATTAAAAATTAAAATATTAATTTATCGAGATTTCCATAATAACGTTTTCGAGATTTTCGGTCGTTTTCGGGCTGGTAATTCATTACAGGTACCTATTAGCGATACAAAATAAATTATACATATTATTTGTAGTTCTTATCCCTGCGAGTAATATAAAAAAAACAAAATTTGGTTACCTTTATTATCTCAGGAGATATTGCAATGGATTAGGTTAGGTTAGGTTAGACTGAGTTCCTAACTTTGTGGGGCGCTCTGTATATCAACACAGTGCCCATAACGGGAGATGACGATAGATTTGTGTATAGCATTACATAGATATTTGTAAAAAAAAACCTTGTCGGCTAACTGCGCAAACAGAAGAAACAATGGTTTTATGATCGTATAATACTCGTATGTGTTCTACGAAATTAAAAAAAATACGAATGTGATTCGCACGAAGGGTGGGTCACTTTTGTAGCTGAGAAGTTAGGTAAGATAGGATACATGATGGAAATTTTACGTGCATCTGTACGCAACGATTAAACAATTTATGTTTGAAAATTGTACACGGTATAGCTGCCGGTCGAATACAATATTATAACAACTTGAACATGCTGCATTGTCACGATCAACCAGTTTTTAATATTACAATTATTATTCGATCGTATAGTGCAATCGTACGATACTAACGGGCTAGACGGGAACAGATCGGGAGGAAGGGAATGTTCGGACGTACGTTCACGAAAGAGCTAGAGACACCGAAATACGCAGATACCTACTGAGGTACCCTCGAAATATTATTATTATCATCGTTATTCGTTAATAATCCACGTTTCTGACCGCTTTTAAAAACCGTCTGGCTTCGAGTAGATACGTCGAGGACGACTGATAAGTATTATCATTGTATTGTTATAGTTTGGCGTGTTTGCATCGTTAGCCCGAGCCCGTTTAACGTGTGCAGAAAACCGTCGCCATTCATGTTGATACAGACAAATTGGAAGTATTACTACATACCTACTTCACGAGAAGAAGAGCACACTTCTCGAAAAATAATAATCACTACTGTTTGAATTGGGTATAATAATATTGGTATACGTCATCGTCGCGCGATCGATTTTTATTAGGGATACTGAAAATACGACGCCATTTTTCATAGTTTTATACGGACTAATGCGGTGTTATTGAAATTGAACTTCTGCTTAACCTTTTACTTTTTAGTACGATATCCGGTGCAATTTTTTAATATTATTTTTAACAGGCCTTAAAATGGCACAAAACGGCAAACACAAATCACAAGACAAAATTTTCAATGAAAATGCGGCGTCTATATTTCAACTGTTATCAAAATTTAATCTAACTGCAGCATTTCCAAAGGTATATTTGGCCTATAAAATATTATTTACCATTATTTTCACATTTACTGAACGCTCGTTTTCAAAAGTTAAAAAACTATTAAATCTCGGTTAAGATCCACAATGACCCAATTAAGGCTGGGAAGTCTTATCCTACTAAACTATGAAACTGAATATCAAAATATTAATATGAGCCGAGCCATTAATAAATAAACTACATCATTAACATTGTTTTCAACATTTTTATTATACTCATAAGTCATAATTATATGTTTAACGTTTCATTATAATTATATATGTACATTTTTTTTTTGTCGAGTTAATTGATGTTTTTAAGTGTAATACAATATTTTAAGAAAATTTGCTATACTGCATTAGTAAATTTGTTAAAAGTTTGGGCTCATAGTAAAACATAATACCTGATATATTAATGTTAACTGTTATTGTAAAATTGTAATAAAAAAAAAAAAAAAAAAATGTATATTATATAAGCATGTTTTAATTTTATGTGTGGTTTCGTTATTTGCCAATACGGAGAAAATGTTTATGACGCCATTGCCAAATACTATTAGACGAGAATACAAGAACCTCGTCGAATCTGTAGAATATAGTTAGAGTATATTAGCAGGCCTATACAAATCCCTTAAAAATACGCGGTATGTTTAACTGATATCTGATACCGCTGCAAGGTTAGATTAGGACACTGTGCTGTGTCCTACGTGTAAAACTAAACCTCGTTACGTGAGACCGGACTTCCGGCCACTTCCATTTGCGAGGTCGTGTCGCACTTTTAATTAAAAATTACCCATGATTAGTTATGCAAAACTGCATCGAGTTAGTTTAGGGAGAGGGAGGGAAATTAAAAAAATAATATTATTTTTACGGGTGCAATGTTCCACGTATTATATATGGCAGCATACAATTTTAAAATTGTTGTAATTTCTAAAATAGTAGTTTCTAAAAAAATGCGAAGAATATGTTTAAATATTTTTAACCTATTCTGAGCAGAGTTCAGTTGATAGCGATGCTTTGTTAACACTATGTATATATGTCATATATATTATGGGCCCCCACACAAACCTGTTCGGTGAGGCCCATTATCTTTTGAAGAAATAAACGATAATAATAATAATAATGCTATGGTAAAATAATTAAATAGGTATTATGTATTTGCTATTTTATCGATTTTCTCGTTTTTCCCGGTTTTTCTATGTTTTTCCCCGGTTTTTCACATTTGCCAGGAAAACTTTTGGGAAAATCAAAAAATGACCTTTTAGAAAAAGTGCTATCATTGTAAATCGAAGCAAAATTGATGATCGAAAAATTGTTCACACACAAAAAATATCGTAAAATTTTATATAAATATATCAAACTAATATATTAGTAAAAACTAATAAATTTCCTACATTTTCCCGTTTTTCCTCAGTTTTTTTTTTTGGTTTTTTACATTTGATAAGAAAACACCCCAAGAAAATTTCCTTTCAGAAAAGGGTCTAAATCGTATAAATCGGAGTATAAGCTTACTGGTAGAAAAGTGCTCGCATTAAAAAAATAAAAAATAAAAAACATTTTTGTAAAACCAATACACTTTTCGCTCCACTCAGAATCTAAAAATATTTGACATGACTAATTTAGACGGCTAAACCAAATTTTCACATCTAATAGCATCATTAAGAGTTAATTCAACTCCAACATTTCTGTGTTTGCAGGGGTCGATAGCCATATTATTTATCCACAAAATAATGCTATACAACCGTAAGTCGTAGGCTCAACACCCACGCCTCAGAAATACATTTGTGTCGATTGTTGATGATTGAAATTTAGGTTTTTGCGGTTGAAAAAAAAAATACAGACGTATTTTAACATGCAGTTTTGTTGCGTACATTTTCTTCGTAACTGAAAATAATAAATCAAGAACGTCTCATTTTGAATTGAGGCGTATTTATATAATAATTATCAAATGGATGACACGAACGTGTGAACGAATAATAAACTGCTATATTTCGTTTTGTGGCAGTGATGAATTTGCTCGTCTTTTGTTTTATTGGCCAATATCTTAATGATTTCGTTTTGTGACGGATAAAATATTTCGGTTTGAACCGCAAAGCTGCAATAAAACCAAATTCGTAAATTTTATGTTTCAAATATAATATATTGTTAAACAGCCGTAACCTCGATTTTCCAGTGGCTATTTTTGTCAGACTTTCCGTAGTGCACATGCTTGCATTTAAGTTTAATACACTGTACGTTGGTGGAAAGGTATAGCCGTGATTAATATATCACCGCAAAAAAAAAAACCAAGGGGTAGTGATCCACCCATCGCCCCCTCCCAAAGATACGCCACTGGGTTGTGTTTTCATCCCCAAAAATAAGAAAACCAAAAAAAATAACGGTAATGTTTTATTTTAGAGCTATTTATTTTATAAATTGTTAAAAAAAAAATTCAAAAAAATAAATATTTTCTGCGATAATGAGTGTCATATAAAGGGATTGATTACACTGTAAATATATTACAAGTACATACAAAAAAAAAAAAAAAAATGTTTTCCTCACACCTATGGATCTACGGAACCTTGTGGCTCGTTGATAATAAAAACGCAGGTGTCAGGGGCACATTTCAATTTTTTGTAGTTCACATTTGAGATTTCGTAGTGTACAAAGTGTGTCGCAGTCTCGTAGTGCTCACAAAAATAACCACAGTACTTTCCGGAGTCTGATTTAAGAGTTAACCGAGTACCTTTCGATAACAAGCTTCAGATAACATACGGTGAACAGTTTAGTTGCCAAGTATTAAGATTATATCTTTAAAACTGACCATTTGGGCGGAGAAAATCGCGAAACTGAATTTTCTATATTATAATACTCAGAGGGTGTGAAATAAATAAATAATGTTTCATACCATACACAGTTATGTCGTATTATTGTATCTCATTTCCAAAACCATTTACGCCAAAACTGATCGTTATGTATACCTAGGTAGGTACTCAGGAAAAATACATATACATATATAAGTAAAAACGGTTTAATATAATAATATAACGGTTATGGTTAACGTTTCCAGTTATGAATCGGAGGCGGACATTTCTCATGTAGGTAGGTGTCTATGGTTTAGATATTTGCCTAGAGCGCAAAATTCCTAAATATGACGCGGTCCGTTGTCAATAGCCGCATTGAGGTACTATTATAAATCGCAAGAAAAACGTATTACGAGTATAAATAATAATAATGATAGCTGTTATAAACAGTGTGTCGATTTTGCAAGTGAACATATTTTGCGGTGAGATAGTAAACTGCGGCAAAAACAAATTTAACATTATACATAAGCTAAACCGATAAGATACATTATGAAAACTGCGGCAATTTATTTTATGTACTTATTACTAATAAGTATACAAAGTACTATTATACTTAAAGTATGTAAACTATTAAGTATATATTTTAGCCAATGTAATTATTTAACTGATCGATTTGTCTTTGATTTAACTGATATTTTTGTATAACGAAACTGGCCAACGAGGACCCACTATTCCTTAGTTCCAAGCGTAAAATTATTATCTGTTTAACCTTAAATATTGTAAATTTCCTTGTTAGTTATTATGTAATTTTATACAATGTTATTGGGCTCGCTCCGTTTTACCGACACGATAAACGAAAATGTATTAAATTGATAAGATAAATACAAATGTATTTTTACATACCATACTAAACATTGGTTCTTTTAGTAGATAATATTACTTAGTACTCAGACGTCAACAGACGAAAGTATATCGTAATAAGTGCCATATCATAACACGGAATTTACAAAAATGTTCAGTCAGAGAATGGCAAACAATCAATAGTTTTAAATAATTTTAAATTTAAATATTTAAATACGAATTGAAAAAATGTGATTTTAATACATGGGAATGTTTTTAAATAAAAAATTCAAGGCTTGAATTGATCTTATACAACAATATTATTTAACAAGAAAAATAACTTTTGGTACACATACTCATGAAACACACTCCACGAACGATCGCCAAGCCGTAATAAATACATACAAATAGTCGTACGTGTTACAAGGTAGCGTGCAAACGTCATCGATTATCGATCATCTTATCGGTATGTATACATCAATATAGTGTACGCCTAATAAGTGTGTATGAAATAAGTTGCCACAGTTTATATAATGTATATTATCAGTTTTGCCACGGTTTGTATAATGTTAAACTTGTTTTTGCAACAGTTTACATACAGCCATTTTGCACCGAGTTTGCTGCGTGTATTATTCGTGTATAATATAATGTCGTGGGAGGTAATTTAGAATTTAAAAGCTACACATTTTAAGAATTCATATGCAATGATGCAAATGTGTATGTGTGTATATTCAACTAGCATAGATTTTATATATTCTCTACGAAACAAGTCTTAACACGATACGTGTTATCAGCACCGACAGAAAGGTAGGGTAGACCGGAAATAACATTTTGTTCTGACACAAGGCCAATTCGCTATCAGAATACGCACGCCAAAATAAAGTGCGACTAAGCTTCGTTAGGCGCACGGTGCGGCAAAAAGAAAAAAAAAAACACGCTATAATAATGTAACATTCCTCGCTAATAAATTTCCTATCTATTTTTAAATAACAAATCGATAACTCTTCCCTACTCCTCCGGTCTAAACTTTAAATGGTTGTAACTCGTAAACGGTAAATCTGATATTAGTGTTATGCATAAAGTATATACTTATTTAACGTACATAGAGTAGAGGTAAAAAATTAAAAATGGTTTTAAAATAAAGCTTAAACGATTCCACAATGATTCAAAAAAAAAAAAAAAAAAACAGAAATCAAATTCGCTTCAAAATCTCAGAGATAATTGCTAGTTCATGATAAAAAAAAAAAATCACCCTGTTGATTATTTCCATTGATATCGATATATTATTGCTTCAAACAATCCTCTATCCCGCCGCCATCAGTCTCGAGTACTCGAGTACACCAGATTATACGGAGACTTATACTGAATTACGCTCGTTTCGGCCTTATAATCGCCGGCATGTTATAATACTCTGCTGCAGGATACTCGAGAGGTCTGTCCGACGTCTAAGCGTATTATATCGTTTATTTCGAAACAATCTGTTTGTTGGAAATCACTCTAATATATTGATACTAATAGCATCAAGTCGTCCCTTCCCCAGAGGCACAGTTAGAAATATTTTTTTGGTAGGCCAGATAAAATAATTTAAACGTTTAAATAGGAAAGACTACTATTACAACATTTCGATTTTAAAGTAAACTGCGTTAATTTTTCGAGAAAGTGTCCACCGCGTCCACCGGGTCTACACGCTGGTTACGCCATTTTGCACAACGCGAATTTGCTACGTAGTACGTTTTGAAAACGGAAACAGTAAATGCAGTTGTGTCGTACTCTTTGGAACGTGATTATAAAATAAATAAATAAATATATTATACACCAACGAACGTGGTTATCAAATTATAATATTATCTGGTATTCATTAAAGACGGGCGGAAGCGGCTTTTTAAAAACAAATGTATGAAGAGTGCCACTGCACAGTTACACTGAGACCATGAAACGTAATTACGCATAATATAATATTATTATCTCTGAAACTTAAAAGAAAATGTCTGTACTATGTATTAGTGCGTTTTGCATTTATTTTAGATAACTACTCGCCAATATGTCGTTAGATTGCCGTTTATACGATAATTATTGTTGTGAAAATAATACAAATATTTTAAAAATATGTAAATTAGAATATTATTGTATTGAGCCAAAACGAGCTTTCTATGAAAAGAAAAACAACTTGACTACAAAGGTGCTAATAGCGTAGACGCTAAATGTGGAACGTGTCACTATATGTAGCCGAAACGTGTTTTTAAGACCGAAAAGGCATACATTTGTTGTAAATACGCGACTGATTTTAAGCATAAAGTAATCATAATAAATTATAATAGGGATATTGATGGTAAGAACACGACCAGAAATAAAAATGCTGAGATGACAGAATAGAAAAAGTGGGTAGCCTATATAAGACAACGATTACGAGAGAGGAACTGTTCAATCTTGCAACGTTTTGAATAACAGCAGTTGTAAGTGACGATTATCTGTTAAAATCTAAGTAAATTTTAATATATATATTTTAAACCGTTTTTACCTATTTTTTTGTGTTCATTTCTTGTTTATTTTTCTATAAAAAATACATCATTCAGAATATTTTAGTGGCATACTGAGACACAGATAGACACAGATAAGAGGACACGAATAATTTAACCTATTGTAGGAATGAAAAAAAAAATTGTATTTTTCATAATACTTGCACTATATTGTATAAAGTATAGTATAGTGATATTGAAATATAACCGAGTTCGGAGTTATTATTTCCAATAGTGAATAATAATAATGTGTTCTAAAAAACGAAATTTTGAGTACGTGTTTCTGTGCTCGGTGACAATTATATACGTGTAATGACGTCATTGCTCGACGATACAAGACGCGGGCTGGAAGCTAGAAGGTTTTATCATACCTTTTTAATTTTTTTTATAGAAGAGCAAAATATAAAGTACTTCTGTAGGTAGATCGAACCTAATGCATTAATAGTTATCGCTATCTCTATGAACCTTATTATAAGGCTAAAAGACGTTTTCCGTGTTTATTAAACTAAAAAAAAAAAAAAAAAAAATAGCATTTTCAAAACAAATAAGATGTTTCTATCTGTTTCTTTTCAACGGAAGAAAATGCGTACTACAGGAACTTTATCGTCTCTAACACCGACAATTGACGGCGATGACAATATGTTATATTTTAAAAATACTGGTTTTTCAGGTAAAGCATAAAATATTTTTACGGATTTTCCATGGCATTTATTTCGATTGTTTTGAAACACGCGTAGGTGGAATATTACAAAAAATAGCGTGTCCTTAAAATGAATGATGGGTTAAAATTTACAAGTGCAAGCCATCATCGTTTGGATATAATTCCACGCTAATCCTACGACAATCACTTTTACGAACGCACGACATTTTCTATACCACCCGAATACACGCACGTGATCCGCACACTTATAAGATATGTACTTAACCCAGACTCCGATAATTATTAGCAGACGCTTTACTCGCGAGACGTTTTGTGTGTGCTTCACTGATATTACACAATATCGATTAGGTTTTATTTTTCATGTAGGCGGGAATAACGGAGGGACTGCACTTAACCCACCCAAAAATTTGACACATAATCTCAGAGCGAACAAAACGGGACATATCATTCCGAATTTCTTATATTACAATAGTTACGTTAAATATTATTCGGTATGACTACGAAAATTTGAAATGTCTCCGGGTCTTATATGGTTTATGCGTCGTTTCTGTGCGCGATGTAGTTTTAATTACATCGTAGTTCTGTGATATCGAAAAACCTATGAAAATTGAAAAAAAAACCTAAACGTTTTGTGCGATATAAACCTGTGGAGTATCAACTGTCGATACATTTTCAAGCGACGATTTCAAGTATAATGATAAAACAGCGTTACTAAAAATCATAAAGTGTAAAACAACGGAATATTAATAGGTGCCAGGAGAAATTACCGAAAGAATTTGTTTTATTTTATTCGGTTTTGCTCGAAATATTATGACGACCCGAACACCTTTTGTTTTGGTTTTATTTTATTAGTAAAGTATTCTAAAGACTCACTCCAAATTAAAAAAATACATACGCTTACATAGATGTAAAGGTGTAACCTCGGGAGGGGAAAGAGAGGGCAACTTGCTCGGTAGATATTTGAATGAGGGCACAATAGTATTTTTGCCCCGCCTGTAATAAGTTACAATAGAATTTATTTTAAAATAAAAATAAAAAAAAGCACAATGCATCGTTAAATAATATTTTTTCTTTTTTGTCCACGATGTTAATAAATAACCAAACCGATAATATCGTCGTTACTTAAGATCACGTTTAACTTAATTCGTGGTTTTGATTATAGTGGGCACAACATTTTTCTGGCCGGACCACCGGTGAATCATAACCCGGAACGCCGGACAAACCCGAACAACGGCCACTACTCTCGGACCTCGGACTTCTATTTTTACGCGGCCGTAGTGTTGGCTCACACGGTCGTCTTCTGGTTAATCGGTGGCCAACGGTAGAGAAGATGACCAAAATCGTCTAAAGCGATCGGCATACGACAAATGTTAGGTTTAAGGGTAAAGCTCCCTATTTTTTTACATTTAAAAGATTTTTAGGTTAACCAGAGTCTGTCCCTCCCCCAAGACTTTTCCCCCTGATTACGTTTATGCACTCGTTTATAGCTATGTTATTAAATCCTATTAAAAAAAAAAACCGTATGTGCGATAAGTATCGAATATTTGAAGTTACGTGGTTACGTGTCGTAAGGTTTTATCGGTTACCTACGTAAAAACTCGAATAATCAAAACGTAATGATACACTCGATGAAATTCGTTAATTTAATCAGAGAATTAATTTCACCGGATTTTAATCACTATTTTTTTTTTCTCTTAGCACAATGACGTGTATTAAATTATTTCGAATCATATTTGTTCGTCTGCACCAGACTAAAATATTATAATGTTATCATCTAACCGTTCAATACTCCCGATAGGGGAACGAGAACCCGCGAGCATTAGGTAAATTTATTATGTTTTATTTGTTTTATCGATTCTAGAAATATTTCAATATATTCGAACAAACAAACAATACATGGATATTTACCGAATCGCGCATGGGAGATTTTATATTTCGTTAACAAACAGGTACTCGTCTTGTTTGTTTTAAT